GTGTGCCAGCATCAAAGCAGGCATTTCAATTCCTTTCGGGAAGGGAACCGTACGCGCGCTCACTTTGTACCGAGTCTCGCGCAAACAAAGCGGTTCCCGACGCGCATCATCGGGCGATTTCGCTTGCCAAAGTACGACGGTATCGAAAAGTTTCTTCGTTTGGAACACCCTTTTGTTAGATCCTTAACGAATTCCTTACAAGTTACTTTGAGAACATTTTCGTTATCGTATTTACTTCAAATATAAACTAATACATTTTATTTTTAGTCTAAAGATTGATTCTATAATAGATTTTCATAAAGATGAAGACCATGAAATATACTACTTGGTATCAATCAATATGCTGGTTTTTCTTGAAATGTTTCTATGACATCGGGAAATAGAAACCGTTTACTAAGGGGTTGATTTTGATCTTTTTTGAAGTATTTCTAAGATACCAGAAAGTAGAAAAAGTTTATTGTCGCATGCGACCCTTAACGAAATTAGGCAAAATACTAAACAAAACTGACTCTGCCCTCGATGTAGAACCTCGGCTGCAAGCTTCTTGGACAATCTACGATTTTTTATGTAGAACGTTTCTTCGACACTATTTTTAATCACATTGTTCTTGACCGATTTTTGATAAGTTTTGTAGTTTTTGCGTAACGCTTCTATTATTGATTTCTGGAATAAGAATTAAACTTAAAAGACGAATAATTTTAAAAAGAAATAATTAATTTTAAGTATTATTTGCTACCTTTGACATTTGTTTAGACCCTTTTCGACCCATACTTACACCTTCATAGTTTACCGATAGCGAAAAAACTAATTTTTAATTATAAACTTTTAGATAAGGAAGTTTTTGGCTCGTGTTAATGTTTCGTTCAATAAATATTTCCGTGAAAATCATCGATAAGATTATTTGTTTTTCTATTTTTAATAATAATAAAAAATATAATGAATAATAAGTTCCTGTTTTGACATTTTGCGGGGTAATTCGGCTCTAAATTTGCAACGCACGAAGTTTTAGGACTTCCTATGTGGCAGAATATAGGTTAATACGAGTAACATTTTATTGATTATATATTAATAACATTTAATTTATCTTTTCTATTTCTATTACGAATTTCGTTTTTTTTATCTAGAAAATTCTTAAAGAAACTTCTTAATTACGAATACATAAACAGAAAGAGCTGATTAAATTATCAATTATAAAAAAGAAGTATAATGCCTTTACAGCTTACCCTAAAAGTCATCATACACCAAGAATAACAGTTCTCTAAGAAATCAAGATTTATATAACAATCCTGTAAGAGAAAATACGGCAAAGCTACTACCTTGTGGTTAGACTTATCAAAGGCTAGAGGAAATATTTATCAAAAATTATCTAGTCCTCCACGTTAGGAGATAAAAATCTGAGTAAAACGCCAGTGACAAAACTGGTTTAGAAAATTTCGATCCAATATTAATGTTATACAAGGCCGGTTAAAGCTGATGAAGACACAATAAAAGCATTAATTGATGCAATCCGTCGAATAACAACTCGTGAGATCGCTGACAGATTAAATTTATTGATTTCGACCGTTCCTGAACAATTAAAACGTCGAGGTCAAGTTCTTACGAAAAGAAATTTGTGACGTCTGTGATTTATTTCTTAAATGATTCATTTTTGTAATGCATAATCACTGAGGAGGAAACAATATTGTTAAAACCAAGAATAACACGTCTCTATGATGGCTAAACCCGAATATTTCTAGTTTTGAGTCTAGTGTTAGGTATAGTGACAGTGCTAAGTAGTGTTTAATGAAACGATCCAACTCTATTTCCTCTATCTTTATGCTAACTTGTTCCTCTACTTCCCCTACCACCATCACATTGGTTTTGTTATTATTAATTTTCATTTCATATTCTGTTAGTGCTTTGTTGTAAATTTCCAAAATTGCTCATTGCCAACACAACATTCTTACCAATTTAAACAAGTCTAAGATCAATCCAAGATCAGTGGATGAATAGAAGATCAAAAAAGAAGGTTTCAATGAATGCAAAATACAGGAAGTGAGAGGAACGATGTTGTAATTATGGGCATGGGATAACTCAAAACTCTTCAAATTTGAGTTTCCAACAGGGCAAGAGGGGGTTTGAGCGTGCAATAGCTTCATTTGAACCTATGTATGTACAGGGTGTCCCGTTAAGCGTACGGAGCGGCTGTATCTCAACAACGGTAAGGCCTAGAGGTTTGGGAAAAAAATCTTTATAAGCAAAGTGGGCAAGAGAAATAGCTGGAAATTATTTTGAAGTTCGTAATTCGACCGCTAGGGGGCGTAACTGCCATAGAGAAACATAAAATTCCCGCTATCTCAGAAAGTTAGACGATGAGCTATAACTTTGACAACATCATTTAGTAGCTTGGATAATACCGCATCGCTTTTGTTTTGCAATATTTTTCATATCTGTCATAATAAGGGAGGGGGAGGCCAATGCGTTTTCAAATGTTTACATTTTAATATCTCCTGGACCATTCAACCGATTTGAAT